TTAAAAATGAAACAATATTATTAAAAAAACGTAATGTAAATAAAATGTTATTACACAAAATTCGTTTCACATTCGAGCTTCATCATTGGTGTTATTGAAAATCATTGGTTTTAGGAATTAGGAATAGCTCTTAAAATTCTTAAATAATAAAAAATCCAGGGACGTGTTTAAAAAAGAACGTTGATGATGGCAGCTCCAAAACGAAACCTGGGTTTGATAATCTGATAACACTATCTTGTGTACAACAAAAAAAGTAGCGATGATATTGTAGTATTTATTTTGCAATAACTATTCAAATAGAGTCATAAAAAATGAAAAGTAAAATCGCGAGTATTCGTTTTTTTTTTCAAAAAATCTTCGGAAATATTCGGAATTTTTATACATTTAAGGTGGAATTTTGAACATGGAGGCATCCCTATTGCGCAACTTTGTCTCCATTGAACCGATCTCGTATCTCTTAAGCTGGATTTATAAACGGGAGTTGATGTTCAGTTGAAGTTGGATGTTCGCGGCAGTTGAGGCTCAACATTTTTCCAATTATAAACTGTCAGTTTAGATTGTAGGTTTGGTTTGGAATTGTGAAAATTTCGAACGTTTTTCTTTCGATTTAAAAATACTTTCGATATTTTTCAAAGTTCAAACATAATAATCCAACATTGTGCGAAATATAAAAATTAATTACCAAAATAGAAATAATGAAACAAGAATAAGGGTCATTTTTCAATGCATCTCTTTTCTGTGTTTCACGTGATCGACAGGCTCATTGTCTGCCGTTCCTACTGATGAACGTCGCGAACTGTCGACTTAAATATTGACCATCTCTGAACTCCCCTGAAGGTAAAACAAAGTGCCTACTTTATAAATGCGCGCATTCATTTCATAGTGTTGAATGTTTTGAACGTCAACTGAACCTCAACTGAACTTCAACTGCCGAGTTTATAAATCCAGCTTATAGTTCCGAACTCCCAATGATGAGGCTAAAATTTATGAGTTTTAGAATGTACAACTTAACAAGTATAGCTAGAGACGTGATAAATATAAAATAACACGCGACCGGTGCTATCCCCAAGTCTCTTCCTATATCTGTACAACTGTACCAATGCTCGTCACATTAAGAAAAATCTGTAATGCGTATGTAATCGTAATGCGTTCGTAATTATATGGTATATTGCTCTTGGTAATAACTTCATTTGTAAACAGATATATCAAATTCATTATTCTAGGGCGTATTTTTGAGTTTCAGTAGTCCAAATTGCCTCGGTATTAGCCACTCCTTATATGCAATTGTCCCGTTGTCCGAGTAATCATCATATTTAAATGTAATATTGTATTTATAGTAAACATGAAATTAATATTTACTTAAGATGAATAACTTTCATTTTCAACACTTTTTTACTACAGTTCATTTTTCGTGCACCGAGCCCTTCCATATCACGCACTGGGTCCCATATTATACAATAACAGTTCTCTTGAATTCTTGCATTCTCTTATCGTTTTTTTGTTAGTCTCGAAACTTTTTATTTTTCTCTTTTTTTATTTCCGCGATATCTTTTTCTTCTCAGTCCTTTCGTCTTTTTCTCTTTATGCCGTCGCTTTGGCTTCCTCTCTCTTACGGTAATAATCTTGCCACTAAACTGATGTAGCAACCTTATTTAACAGAATTGTACATTTTTGAAATCCAAATGCAAAAGGTGCTTGTAGCGTGCTTGTTGATAGTACTAGAAACCAATATATGCTTTGTCTTCTGATTGTTTGTTAAAGTTTTTTTGTGCCATCGAAATTTTATTTTGCTTTACAGTTTAGCTAAGTTAAATAACTAATATTTAACTTTCTACTGAATCTCCTTTTTTGAAAGTTACAATAATTATAAGTTCCGGAAAGATATACCTAATCCATAAAGTATAGTTGCAAGAAATATCTATATCTACGATATTATTCATATATTATCAGTTAAGATTATTTCCTCTGATAAAATTAAAACGGATCGCGGTCCCATTTTTATCATATGTGCCGATTATCAGGACACGGTCACTTTTAGACCTAGTAATCAGCGCAAGAAAATTTAATATAAAACATGCATAATTAAATTTAAATTTGTACACTTACTGATCTATCCTAAAAGTTTGGATGTCTTAACATACACATTAAAGAACCAACATCATCACAATCACGTACCAAAAAGTAATGCCGAAACAGAAACCAATGCAACACTGTGATGTAACAAAGAAAGTGACAAACACTGGTACAATACCGATTACTGGTACACTTACCTTACATCTTTGGTAAACAATAGATATATATTATCAAAATTATTGTCTATTTACGATCTATTAAATTGAATGAGCAATCGAATCAAATTTATTTTCAAATTTAGGTCAGAAGTAAATATCCACAGTGATATTCCGTTTCTGTGTTAAAATTTGGAAACAAAACAACGAAAACGTTAAGTTAATTATAAACAAACTCGTATTTCTCATTTAAAACGTGAAATAAAATTATCACAAAGAAATCTTCTAATTTCGCGGTTAAATGCAAATCTTTTAAATCTTCAAGCGTCATTAAATATGAATTAAGGCGGAGTGCTTTTTAGGTAAAAGAATCATGGCCAATTTGTATTTTATATTTTTGTATACATATTTTGAGCAATATTAGATTAAAAATCAAAATATTTTTATTATTATAAGATTAAAAAATAGGTCAAACCCGAGGTCAAACCTTTTTAATATTATACAAAAAATTGCTTTTCGAGCACTCGGTATAAAAAAATATCGATAAGAATTGTATCGTTGTAAAAATAAATAATTTTCTACTAAAAAAAGCATACAAATTAGTAAAATATTTTTTTCATCATAGACTATCAGCTTTTTATCTATCATAGCATATCAACTAACAGCGCTTTCAAATGGAGCGGACCGTCAGCGCCGTTTGTCCGAGTTTTTTCAAGATAGTCGTCGTACAAAATCATACGGACGGAACATACGCGACCCATGTGAAATTGTTCATATAAACTCATGGTACTTGCTCAAAATTTGATGGACCGGACGGATTATAAAACGTATTATTAAACTGACATAAAATGTCAAATTCAACAACCTTAACCATAGTTTCTCGATATATAATTACATACAAGGTATTATTTTAAATCTTTATATATTATTTGGAACTTTCAAATTGTTTTAGAAATTATTTATTTGTGGCGTTATTTCTCTGTGGTGTTTATGGAATATAGCATATTCAATTCGGAGCAAAAATGACTTGGTCAAACGTACAGCCTCGCCACAAAAAGTGTCATTTTTACTCCTAATAAAACAATATACTATTTTCTTGTCTTGTTCGTGTATATTAGTCACATTGACTAATTCATTTTCAGGAAAATCTGTAACTATTATCTCTACCTCTACCATTTATACTTATAACAAATTAAACTAAAATTCAAGTTTTGTTCTTAACTTGATTACAGACAACTTTGATCCTATAGAGTAATTATTGTATTAAAAGTATGGGTAAAAATAGAAAAAAATTGGAATAAATTTGCAAATATCAAAAATAGGTATACGACATACTTAATAAAAGTTGAAGAGTTTTGTAAAATCTATCAGGAAAAATGATAATATATAGTGTACCATTTAAAAAATTTGAGATTCTTTAATTTTAAATAGTTGAAATTCATAAATATATTTTGAACACCGTGTAGCATCTAACTAAAATATCTATACATACGCCTTTTTCTATATCTCTATAAAATTTTACGCAAAATTAAAAAATAAAATAAAAAATAGGGTGTTCCATTTAAAAAAACATAGTAATATTCGCCACACATTTTTGAAGGACCCTGTATACTCTATAGTAATTTTAAAATGTGTACCTTAACCTTCCCCATAACTTTTATATTTAACATTTTTTTTTAAACCTCGAAACGCATGACATAATGAACTACAGATTATCCCGATAGAAGACCACAGTGCCCGTATTCTGTAACTTTGAAAACGCTAAGCGTTTTTAGACGCTCAGCGTATATGACGTTAATTTTCGCTGAGCGCGCACTTAATTAACGATTTCGGTATTCTCGTCTGATGCGCTTAACGTCTTTACTGATTGCGCTGAGCGCTTTGAAAACGGTTGCCTTAAAGGATCGTTTTGCTTGTCGAACTGTCAGTGAAAATCGAAGAAATTGTGATTTTTTGCGTTTTCTTGCTCTTTAGTGAAAATTACTACTTCTTCTATAAATTCCTCAATAAATAATTGATAATTTTCGACTTGGCAGCTATAAATATTGTTCAAAACATCGAAAATGCTGACAAGCGTCTTCAACACTTCCCTCGTATAATAAGAATAATGACATATCCATAGAAAAATAGCTTGACATAACTCAACAATAGGTTATGAAATTCACGTAACATTGACATTTTTCATTTTTACATCCGTCAGTTATCAACTTTTGACTATTACCTACATTAGAAATTGTGATATTGCCAATATGTGCTCAACGCGTATCCAGAACACGATTCGCATGGCAACGAGAATACCAAAATCGACTGCCTTGCGTTTCGCTGATCGAATACTTGCGCTCGCCGCTTTGAAAGCGTAACGTTTTTATGTCAAAGTTACAGAATACGGGTCCAGTTTGGTGAGCAAATGACGCATTTACTTGACAATTTTACTGTGAACTCAAAGAACATACTTTTTTCTTCATGTTGAATGGCTAAGTAAATCAACAGAACTGTCGTTAGTTGGTAGACAAAAGCGACCTCTGAGTGATGGAGGACTATAGGTACTCTGTTACTCTGGATCGCTAAGTACGTACCCACTTAGTTTTTTTTTTCGGATGAAGGATGGGAGGAAGGGATAGGACCTAACATACTCAGTGGCTAGAAAAACTAAAACGTTTGAACCGGCATTATTGATGATCAAATGTTAACTCAAATATTAATAATAATCTAAATGGCCAGGCGTAATTAATGTTAAATTTCAGTGTTGTAAAAAATATTAACTAGACATACCTTTGGTTTTTTGGTGTCCAGACTTACTCCATTCACTGAGCTGACTTCTTCTCTAGGTATACAAATTTCAGCTTGCTGCTCGTTTTGAACCTGTACCACGTACAACACATTCTGCGTATCTTGATTCGGCGAGTAATTCTGCGTATTACTCACTACTACCGAAGTCGGTATTCCCGTAGACGTTTCCACAATAACTGGTTCTCTACGTTGAACCACGACACTGTTGGAGTTGTTTTGGCCTGATTGATGTATATTTGAGTAGGAATTGAGGTGATTATCTGATTGGTCCCTTGAGCATTTTCCAGCTTGGTCTTGATTGGTGGTTTCCCTGTGGTGGGGAATTGTAGTGTTTTTTTCGTCGGGGGATAGTGGTTTATAGCAATGACTAGGAGAAGGTGGATTATCTTCAGTTGGAATCTGTAAAAAAAATAAAAATCATTTTGGAATCCTCATACATCAAACTTTTTTTTGTTAAAGATCAGTGTATATTATCATACATGAATCATTTCCAATATGTAGCGTTTCCATTCCAGGAATCGGACATATAGGAATAATTCATATAGGCAACATTCCTCTAGGGTAATCTACCCAGTTACTGGTACTCAGCCTATTATCAGTCGGTTTTATGCAAATATTTTTCAGAATATCATATTTTTATAATTTATGATATTTGGAAATAAATCTGGACTTATTGAGTCAGATCGTCATGTTCATTTTAAGCTTTTAATTTTGTGTTTTGATACGTTGGTGTAAAGAAGGGCAAAATTTAACTAATTTTTAGGAAGTACCGAATATAGGGAAATAGGAAAATTTTAGCATTGAACTTACAAATAAACTAAGCCTTACAAATAAACTAAACCTTCTATCAATTCAATTTTAGCTTCCTTCGACATAAAACTAAAGATTAGTGTCAATAATTCAATCAATTTTAATATGATATCTGAATTATGCAAAAATGTAGGGAGTAATGATCCTTATTTTTAAAATGTACTCATTTATCATGTTATTTATTGTGATAATTTTTGTACTAAAATATTAAAATATTTTGACTAAAATAAAATATGTAAAAGTGAGCAACGATGGCCGGTCGAGCTTCATCACGTGACTAAAAGTTTATTTGGTATGATGTATAGGTATAGCTTTAATATGTATGTCCATATATGTATATATATATATATATATATATATATATATATATATATATATATATATATATATATATATATATATATATATATATTTAATTTTTTCTTGGCTTTAGGTCAGGTAAAAATGAGAAAAACGGTTTTTTTTATATTAAATATTTCATTGACGTTTCGACCTAGTAGGGTCTTTATCAAAATTATTACTAAAAAAAATGTATAGTCACATTATGAACCTACTAATTAAAAGTAATAGTAATATATATATATATATATATATATATAAAAATTCTATTTTGTTACCTTGAACGTAGATTGTTTACTTATTAATAACTTAGTAGATTGTTTACTTATTAATCTACGTTCAAGGTAACAAAATAGAATTTTTATATATATATTACTATTATTTTTAATTAGTACGTTCATAATGTGACTATAATTTTTTTTTAGTAATAAATTTTGATAAAGACCCTACTAGGTCGAAACGTCAATGAAATATTTAATATAAAAAAACCGTTTTTCTCATTTTTACCTGACCTAAAGCCAAGAAAAAATTAAATAAAATATATATTGAGAGGTCAAAGAAAAAATATATATATATATATATATATATATATATATATATATATATATATATATATATATATATATATATATATATATATATATATATATATATATATATATATATATATATATATATATATATATATATATATATATATATATATATATATATATATATATATATATATATATATATATATATATATCAATAAAGATCTATAAAAATAAATTTATCTTAAATTATTTGTCAAAACTAAAGAAAATCTAAGTGTCAAAAACTAGCTATTATATGTGTCAATGACTAGTTTAAAGTACCAATTACTAGCAAAATAGCAATGCCAATTATTAGCTAGGTGTGCCAATAACTAGCAAAATAATAATACTGCAAAAATAATAAAAAAACAAATTTTTGGATTTAAAATAAACAAAACTAAATATATTTTGACTAAAATAAATGTTAGTAGAGTAGATTAACAAAATCCGGATAAAGAAAAAATATTTTTACAGATTCTGTTAGATAAAATATAATCGTATGTTCTTAAAGTGCCAATAACTGGTTGGTTTACCCTATTCATACATGAAGCGTTTCAGTTTGCTTCAGGCAAAGGGTGTATTCCTAGTTTTGTTGCAAAGCTTTAATACTGGTTAAAAATAACGATTTTATTTCATCTAGATTGCTGAAATTAAAAAATAAACAAATTTTTCAAATACATTTTTTTCGAAATTCAACCAGGAAACCAATTTTTAGTCATTTATTATTTTAAATGTCAAATTTAAGAGACCCGAGAGGAACAGGTGAAATTTTCTGATGTTCTTTTTAATATAAATCAAAACGGAAATTATTGCCGAAGTCAAATTTTACCCAAGTTAAAAATTCAAGGTGAAAAAATCTCGGAATGTTAGAAAACTAGAACAGTTAGCTGCAGTCATCAGCAAATCATTTCAACTCAAAGCTTTGATATTTCAATTTCATAAAAAAAAATCTTATTTCCATAGAATATAAAAAGTACGATTCTTACCGTATGATGTATCATAACCACACTGGGCGAGGGTAAAGGTGGTAAACTTTGAGATAGAGAAAGTAAATCATGAGCTGCTTCAGTCTCTTCGGCACTTCGCGATCTAAAAATGGGAATTCCCACATCGCTGGAAGATACATCTGCTGCAGTGGATAGATTATAGTCTGAATTAGAGGTCTTCAGTCGAAGCGAGTTGTTTGAAAGAATGGGTTCATCTGATTGAACTGTAAAAAAAGAAAACATATTGAGATGATTCGTCTATTTAAAAATTATTATCTTTAAATTAAGAACATTCACTTTAAAAGCACTTTGTATGTATACATAAATCAATATTTATTATTAAAATATTTATACACAAACTAGAGAGAGTGAAATCAGATGACGAACAGAGATGATAGGTGTTAAGTAATAGCTTTTTGAATGCCATTCAAGGTCGTCGATGTATTGGTTTATAGTAGTCATGGCCGGAACAGCGATTTTTAATAACAGGTACAAGCTGTTCCAGTTGCAAAAGATACCTGTTCCAAGAAACCTGTTCCAGTTCCAAACTGTTCCAAAACGAAAATTAATACCGTACTTGCGTCATTCTGATTCGGTTGTTGTTTTGCTTTTTAAATTTATATAAAAGAATATTTTTTGCTTAAATAATGAGAACTACTGGAGATTTTTCTGTTTTCTCTAAATTTAATCTACTATCTATGTTGCTATATTACCAAGATATAATGTTTTTTTAACTAAAAATAAAAAAAAAACTACCTATCAAATTTTCGAAAAATATAGACTTTTCAAAAACAAGTTTTCCCGAAAAAAACTCATGAGAATCGAAATCTACCACCCCTAAAAATATGTGCATTTATGTAATACCCACCCTCTATAAGCACTAATAAATAAATATAGATTTATAATTTTGTTATATACTTAAAAAGTAAATTCTTGGAAGAGTTTATTTTAACATTGAAAATGTTTCTGCTATCCTATATAAGGGAGCCCAAATCGAATTAAAATGCTACATTTGCCACACCATGACGTCATATATACAAGGGTATAGGAAATCTCGGCGCAGCGGCGGCAGTCGGCCAGCGCGCGCAAAAACCATTACATCGCTAATTGTTTATTGATATATCTTTATTAGTTTAAAAGCAAAAAATATGGGGTTTGCTTTGATACTTTGTCAAGACATAAGCGAAACTTTTAAATTGTTTCTTTTTTTCATTTAGGCCTTCGTTTTTCGTTAAATGAAAGTTATATTAAAAAAAATCTATTTTAAACCAAATTTTCGCATGATTGAAATTATTATTCATGTTTTAAGTTTTAACATTGAAAATGTTTCTGTTATCCTATATAAGGGAGCCCAAATCGAATTAAAATGCTACATTTGCCACACCATGACGTCATATATACAAGGGTATAGGAAATCTCGGCGCAGCGGCGGCAGTCGGCCAGCGCGCGCAAAAACCATTACATCGCTAATTGTTTATTGATATATCTTTATTAGTTTAAAAGCAAAAAATATGGGGTTTGCTTTGATACCTTGTCAAGACATAAGCGAAACTTTTAAATTGTTTCTTTTTTTTTTTCATTTAGGCCTTCGTTTTCGTTAAATGAAGTTATATTAAAAAATCTATTTTAAACCAAATTTTCGCATGATTGAAATGATTATTCATGTTTAAAGTGTTTTTTTTTGGTCATAAGCGCTAATGGAAATGTTTTTTTTGTAAATAATTATAAAAAATTACTCCCTACGAAGACTTATTGTGTACTGAATCAAAAAATAAGTATTTGTTTTCTCTATACGGTGGTATTAATATATCGATTTTTGATGATAGTGCCCTTTTACCAGGTCTAGTTTTGTACTACTTTCGGAATAAGGGTCCCCATATCATGTACTGTACTTCCATCCCTGAAAAATTCAGCTTGTGACACCGAAGTGAGAGGTAACGTCAAAATAAGCTTTAATCTACCTACATCATACTTAGGTGTAGGTACTCTAGGTATATTCTACCTAGACAGTAGCTGAACTAGCTGACAGTAGTAATTAATTTGTTATCCGATAAGTAGTTGTCATTATATAAGTTTAATCATCTTATACCTCCTATAACGGTAGGTTTTGGATTTTTCCTGATTGGTTTGGTTTGGACAAAAATATATTGGGCATATAAATGTCTGTTACAGGTTAATTCGTTAAAGAAATATGTTACACACATATTATTTTAATAATAATAGTATAATAGTAATGGCTATATTATGTTATAACACATACATATGTATTGAATGTACTTATTTTAACCAATGCATTGTTTTGTTTTTTTAATCTCACAAATAAGAAATGTTTTATAGTTTTATTATAAAAAACGGTGATTATACAATTTATTTACACCTTACACTGTTTTCTGTAAGGGGTGTAACCAAAGGCTATATTTCGTAACCTCTTACGATATAAGAGGGCACAAAGTGTTTTATTACTTAATGCTTAAAATTTAATAATATATTTGTACATAAAATAAAATAGACTAGAAAGTCAATTAATTAATATTGACGTAATTACTAAATAAGTACAAGATTTTTTTTCTAATTATTTTAGTGTACTTTCAGTCACCTAATTATAAAGGAGAGATATCCAACCATTGCATTATTTTACTCACAAATAAATGTTTTATGGTTTTTATTATAAAACATAATACGGGCGCCGAGAAAGAAAGTCGACATGAACAAATTAAAGAAAGCTGAGATAAGAGCGGAAGAAAAGGAGGAAATAAATAGGGAAATTGCCAAAATCAGGACCCTGCCTCAACCACCGGATGATGTCGGAAAAACATGGGACCGTTTGAAGAACGCAATAGTCACCACTACAAATAACATAGTTGGACCACCTACATACAAAAGGAGGAGATGGATGACTGACGAGATTTTGTCGCTGATGGCTGAGCGCGGTCTGTGTAAGAATAGGGATCAAACCAAGTACAAAGAAATTGATAAACAAATCAGAAGGGAAATACGCAGAGCTAAGGAGCAGTGGATGGAAGATAAGTGCACTGAGATCGAGACAATGGAAGAAAAGCATGACCACTTCAATATACACAAGCTCGTAAAAGAAACAACAGGACGTACAAAACATTACAAGTCAAATAGTATAAAAGATGACAGTAACGAACTCATAACTGACATTAGCAGCCTACTGAACCACTGGAAAGAATACACCGAACAACTATTCCGCGAAAATGAACAGAGAATCTTTACGGATAATTGCGCTGGCGAAACCGCACCCAAAATACTAAAGTCAGAAATCATAAAGGCCATTAAACAGGGAAAACAGGGAAAAGCAGCAGGACCAGATGAGATTTATATAGAAATAATAAAACTGCTGGACGAGGAAAACATTGAAGTCTTGGTGCAAATGTTCAACAACATATATGAGTCGAGTCAAATACCACAGGACTGGCTACACTCGGTGTTCGTACCCTTACCAAAAAAACCCAATGCTGACCACTGTGACCAGTTTAGAATGATCAGCTTAATGAGCCAGGTCTTAAAGCTCTTCACAAAAATAATTCACGGAAGAATATACAACAGATGTGAAAAGGAGATCAGCACCACACAGTTTGGGTTTAGACAGGGATTTGGCACAAGGGAAGCATTATTCAGTCTGAGTGTTCTTCTTCAGAAGTGTCGAGACCAGCGAAAGAATGTATGCGTGTGCTTCATAGATTACCAGAAAGCCTTCGACTGTGTCAACCACTCGGAACTTATAAAACTTCTAGAGGAGAAAATGGTGGACAGGAACGACCTGGCATTCATAAAAAAGCTTTACTTAAACCAGATAGCATCGGTGAAGGTAGGAAATGAAACCACCTCTAGTTTTCCAATAGAGAAGGGTGTAAGACAGGGTTGTGTCTTGTCGCCTCTCCTCTTTAATTTGTATTCGGAGGCCATTTTTGACAGTGCCTTAAAGGACACAGACGACGGCATAAAGATCAACGGCTACGCGGTTAATAACCTTCGCTACGCTGATGATACAGTCATCATTGCTGATAACCAAGAAGCATTACAGCGACTTATCGATAGAGTATCCGCGGAAGGCGAGCGACTCGGTTTAAAAATCAACATCGATAAGACGAAGACTATGATGGTTGGCAGAACCCCGATCGACCGTCTAAACATCTCGGTGAACGGCCAACAGATTCAACAGGTCCCGAAGTTTAAGTACCTCGGCAGCTGGATTACCGAAGACCTAGATCCAGACACGGAGATTCGAAGCAGGATCGAACAAGCCCGAGCAATATTCACGAACATGAGAACTCTGTTGAGTAACCAAAGCCTGAGTCTACGCCTACGTTACCGTTTTGTAAAAGGCTACGTATACTCAGTACTACTATATGGCGTGGAGACCTGGACCCTCAAGGCAAAAACTATGAACCGACTAGAGGCCTTTGAGATGTGGATATTTCGAAGATTGCTCAGGATTCCTTGGACTGATCGCGTGAGAAATGACGAAGTTCTGCGACGTATGGGAACGGAAAGAATGTTGCTTCAAATAGTTAAAAAACGGAAAACAGCTTACTTGGGCCACATATTTAGAAACACCAAATATCAATTCCTGAAACTGATTATGGAGGGGAAGATTGAAGGAAAACGTGGCATCGGAAGAAAGAAGTATTCTTGGCTTAAGAACATCAGAGACTGGACTGGTCTCGATGCCCATTCACTCTTTAGAGTCGCCCAAGATCGAGACGAATTTGCCAGAATTGTCGCCAACATTCATTAAATGAATACGGCACACTAAGAAGAAGATTATAAAACAACGATTAATTTATTATACACCCCTTAACCCAAACCCTCCAAGGAGGATATTTCGTGACCCCTTATTTAAAGTGGACAAGCTTTATTAGTCAATGTTTTAATTACCCAGCGTCTTTAATAAAAATCTAATGTAATTTTTCATAGAAATGATCTGACATAAAAAGCAAATTTTATCAAAAAACTTTTTGATTATCTACAACCGTAGATAGTAAACCGCTGACAAATGTCTGTATACTAATGCCAAAGTAATGCCAAAAATACAAATTAAATACCAAAATTTCCCATATAATGCCCCACTAATGCCAAACTGATTCCAATATAATACCACTAATACCACGAATAATATGTAACACATTTGTTTCGCGAATTAACCTGTAACAATACTGGTAGGTACGTGCACAGATTTTTTCCTAGGTAACTTAAAAGTCCTTAAAAAGTCTAATTAT